TTCATGGCTGCAACACTTAGAGGTTTCTAATAGTTCAAGTCCAGTGTTTGTTCCTATCTTATCTTGGGCGCTTTATGCAATACATAAGGCACAACCTCTCCTGCAGATGCGTGATGTTCTTCATTATGGCAGGTTTGAGAGTTGAAATGCTGGCTACCCAGGACTGCCTCAGCCTGCAAAAGGCCAAAACAGGGGCTGTCCCTCACACATTAAGTCTTGTGAGGTTTAAAGGTCACATGTATCTTTAAATACAAAGATTTTTATTAAAAGGGAAAACAGGAAGAAGAATGGTTTGCCAAGTCCACAGGTTCCTTTAAAGAACCCACTGTTTCCCCCTTTTTGAATCATACAGAACACTCTTAACCTTTGAGTAAGCTAAGAGTTTGTCCAAAATGTATAAGGATTACATTTTGATGAAGAATTATCCAATTAGGATGCCAGTTTTTAACATTAGAGAAAAATTCTCTTTTTCTAAGACTGAAATTTTAGGAATAAGATGTTCACTAAAAGCCTTCCCAAAAGTCTAAACATTTTTGTTTGTTTGTTTATGGATCCACATGAGTCCAGTTAAACTCCCTAAATCTAGTGGCCTGCATGTCTTCCATTGTGCCTCTATTCACAGTTGTGAGTTATCCTTTTTGTTATTCTTCACCATCTGCCACTTGAACTGCTAGACTGGAATCATCCTCCAAAAACTATCTTTGATCATCTTTTCCTCCTGTGCTCTCTGCTGCAGCCAGGGTAGTCTTAAGGAGTTTGTCTCTTAGCTGCAGGGACTTAATATTTTGCTCAGACAGGATTTCCAAAGTTTCCTACCATTGTTGTCACTAAATCAGTTGTGTTGCTATTTCTAGTGCTGGGGGTGGAGCACTGTGGGCTTTCCTAGTGTTTTATATTCCAAAGCAGTCTTAGCAAGTACGTCTTCTACCCTGGGCATGCTCACTCATGGCAGAACTGAACCAGAAGTAGCAGTAGGATGAAATTTTAGTGGAGAAAACACTGGTACAGTCACACTGTATTGTGTGTCTCACAGGCTGCATTGGGGATAGCCTCAAATGAATGGTACTGTACAAAAATATGTATAGTGTGGGGCTGTAAATGTTCTACCTTCTTTCTTTCTCTCTAAAGAGAGAACAGCTATGTCCCCACACAGAGAAGGTAAGTACTGCATCTTTAAGGTCTCAGCAGTGAGGTAGAGGAGAGGAACATATTGTCAGTGTTTATACCTTTCTTCTTTGTTGAATTTGGGATTGGCTTCAGAGATATCCAGGCTTTTACTGAACATTGTTTTACTATGGCAGGAACAAAGCGAGAAAACAGAGTTACTAGTGTGGACATTTATAAAAGAGAGTCACCTGAAGCAATGCTGGACACCCGGCCCCCCAGCCCATCCTCCCCTTTTAAGCAATACTTTGAAAAACCTCTTTTACTTTCCAACTTGGCTCAAGCCAAGTTCATTATCTCCCCCTGACTTATGAGGTCTTAAGATGACTTCCCCCATGCATACTTGTAATCCCTGCTCTCCTTTACCCAACCAAAGTATCAGCTACTTTGTCACATTGTCCAGGGAAAACAGACCATGCCTGAAGGCCCAAATTGCAAAGCACTCATTACTCAGACTTTTCTAGAAGACCTCAACACTAACCACAATCTGGGAGAAAAGGTTAAAATCGAACCATAGAGCCTCCTAGAGGAACAGTAATCCATTCTGTATTCTGATATGTAGGGTCCATTACCACTTACTCCCAGTAATATTCCCTACACTCCCTGCACAGAGAAATGCCCTTCTTTATAATTTTGGGTCCAAATCCCTGAAGCTTAGAAGCAAAGTTCTCTAGACTTTGCAGAAGGGCAGCTCTCTGTAATATATTTCCCTGGTAATATCCTTCACTGTTTCATAAAACACTGCTTTCTAATGTTAGCTGATCTTTCATGCAAGCTATCCACTTCAATAACCAGAAGAAAATGAATAGCGAATGAAGCCCATTTTAGAACAGTTTTTGGATTCTCACAGCAGAGCTGTTGAAAATTTCTGGCATACCTCTGACAGATTCTAGCTCCCATGGAATTCTTTCTAGTCTGTGTGATTTTGGCACAAGGGACAAATTAGCTGGTGTTAAAACTAAGCTCAGAAGCTACCTCTTTTCTTTTGACTTTTCAACAAAATACCAGATAGTTTGAGAGGTGTGGATACCACAAAAGCAGAAGCAATTAAGATGTAGTTATGAACTCATATAGTTGACAACAGGGAAAACCGGGAATTTTAGGCTGGCTGGTGGTTGTGCATACTAACTTTGCCATATACAAAGACCCAATGGAGAGGTCAGCACAAACATTTCAAGGAGTCTGTAAGCTCAACAAACAGCCTTTGTGCTGAGTTCTGCATCTCCGTTATCCAAAAGTAAGTCACTGAAGGTCTATGTTTTTCACTAATACTTTCTCAGCCTGTAGGGCTGAAGACTGCCAAGTTTCAAACCTCAGTGGAAAGATATGCCCTTAAACAAGCCAACACTAGACACATGTAATGTCCCCACATGCTTACCAAAAGCACAGTTCATCACACAGACACATAAACCAGAGGTTATGACATAAATCCCTGTTATGCAAGCAAACACCTATTTACTACTTGGAAAGAGGACAATAGGGCTAAATTACAGGACACATGGGTGTGTTCTGCCCACTGTTAGACATGTATGACAGCTCAAGAAAGAAGCAATGGCTCTTTGTCTTTGGATGTTTACATAAGCCATCTGCGTCTAAACAGAAGACCTGTTCCTATGGTCCACCTCCCTGTCTTCCTAGTGTTGTAGGATAACAGCGCTTAATAGTCATCTGTTGAGACCAAAATTGTCATTCTTAAAAAAGCATCCACCTCTGGGATCTAAACCCGACTGCTGTAAAATCCACTGTCAGTAGGTTATTTCATGGAATATAGCATGCAACTAGCCATTAAAAATTCCCTTTCTTGGTGGAAGGCACTTGTTTTGTTACTGACTGTTCTGACAGATGGTAACCCATCAGCAATGCATCGTTCCCAGACAACCCCCATGCAGTGGTGTTCGTTAATGAAGCCAGTTCAACTTACAAATGACTGTGCTGCCAGCAACACAAAATATGCTGTTGTTGTCTGTGGATGTGGATGGTATGAATTATGGAAGCTCACACATGGAGTAAAATAACATCTTCCCTTTAACCCCTTCCAAAACAAGTACTACCAAGCCCATCACCATCAGTCATGGTGTTATTACATCCCTTTCTCCACCCTTAATCACACCTTTATGTCCAGCTCTGAGCTGTGGTATGCATTGTCCTGTATCTCTTTTGTGCCTGGCAGGTTTTGCTTCGTCCTTAAGCCAAAGCCCTTCTTTATTGACATGTAGCCTGAGTCTGTCTTTGCTCTGAACTCACCTCAGACCTTCTGACTTCAATTGTACCCTCATATGCAGAACTGAGTGAGACATTTAAAACCAAAAGTTAACCAAACTTTGGATAGCAAGACACAGCTTTGCTTCTTTGGATGTTTGAATCCAAAGTCAAAGATGAGAGCTGGAAGAAATGGTTTCTGCTCTTGGAAAACTTTGGGATCAATCTAACACCTCCTGTTTGGAGCACTGTCTGGCCCTGGCAGCTTCATGACCCATGCACCTTCCAGGCACAAGATTAAATACTGCAAGCTGAATAAGGAGTGAGCAACTGTTTGCCTGTGTTGTAGTCATCCTCATCACAGTGAGGCCTATGAATAACACTGAGCACGCCTTGTTCTGAACACTTCCTTTGCCCAGATTTCACACCAAAGCAACCTATATATTTAAGACAGGTTTTTAACCTACACTACAATGAAAAATCTTTATGGCAGTGCATCTCAAGGCCACATATCCAAGTCTGAATTAAATCCTAGCAGATTCTGCAAATCACCATTTTTCCCTCACTGTAGATAAAACTGAAACAGTTGCCCGCAAAACTTTCCAGCAATTCTAGGGGCCTCTGGACATAAAATTATTTCCTTTCTTCATCCAGTTCTCAGTCAGCAAAGGGAGTTTCTGGGCACAGAAGGCTCTTTTTGAGCAGATCTTTGCAGCTGAACAAAAAAATCATGTCATAAAGATGAAACAGGAGTTACAGCATCATCATCGTACATTTATGTGAAGTGTTCTTTTATACTGATTGATTTATGCAAGTGTGAATCCAAATGCGTGTGCTTCCCTTAGGCTAGTCATAGGGACTGAGGAAGCAGCTTCCATGGTTCACATAGGGGGACTTCCACAGTTTGCCTACTCTCCTTGCTTGAGAAGATATCATTTTCCTCTGCTGTTTCTCCACAAAACTGACAATTTTTTTGATAGAAAAGAGCCAAAATTATGCATATTCCATTACTTAACAGGCATGTGATAATTTGTTTGGGTCAGATGCATGCTGGCTCTGACAGCGTATTTTAGAGGCATCTTCAAGTTCCTGGACAGGGCTTTCCAGATTCAAGCTGTTCTGATGACATGGAGGGTGGGGCTCATTTCATTTAACTTTGGGTGCCCAAAAGCTAGGTACCTAGTCCAAGACTAGATTCCTGTTGTAGGCTGTGAAGACAGAGAGGAACAACCAGAGGGTAATTTATCTTAAGATTGTTAGAACAGAGGACATATGTATCTGAGACCTTCCAAAGCCCTCATCTGTCCCCACTACCTAGAGTGACAGCCTGTATCACAAGCTTAGACTGAATGCCTATGTTCTTGACAATTAAAAAGAGGTGAGATGAATCTTGTCCAGAGGATGTAGTGGTTTCCTGAGCAAAAGCTGTAAGCAAACAGAACCCTGAAGCCCCTGGAAAGACTGCTGGCCCTGTGTGCATAAGCGCTGCTGGCTGTCACATCATGTTGCAAATGTGTTTGGAAGTTGCAATGAGTGCTGGTGCAAACAGAAAAGCTCCGCAGCTCTTTTGTATGTATAACATAAAAGGGAGGAGCAAACCCCGACAGGCAGGACTCCTGCGTAAAGCAGAGACCCACCTCTGTCCATGTTGTGCCATTTCAATAGCTCTGCGAGCAGGGACTGGGGAGCCGCCATCTGTCACACTGAGAACCTCCATCGACTTCCTTTCTGGACGCCGCTTCCCATGCCTGTTCAGCATTGGGGAGTCCACACGCTTCCTGGGAGGATCTTTAGGAAAAGAAAACACAGTCAGCTGAATTCGGCTGTGAGTTACCTCACACAGGATGGTCAAATCTTCTCCCAACAATCTCACTCTCACAGCTCCCCTTACAGAGACAGGTATCATTGAAATGGAGCTGAACATTTGCAGTCTCTTCCTTCTTCCAAATTTGCAAACATTAAGACATAAGTTGCAATCCATCTACAGAGAGAAGGAGCACTGCAACTGCCCTGAATGTACAAGCACTGCAAAATAAAGGTACAATTATAGCACAGGTTGCAGAAATTACTTTGCAAAGATGATAAGAGTAATAACACAATGATGCCATAGGCATCACAGTACAAGCTGTTAGCCAGAGTATAAGCCATCTAGGGATCCTATATATATACTCAGGTTGCTACACCTTGCCTTTGATGTCCCTGCTAGCAAGATTAAATGTGACAAAGGCACATGAGTATACTATCAACTCAAAATTGCATTCTCCTCTGAAAATATATCCTTTTTTGCATCTTTAAGATTAGATTTCATGTTTTGCCTGCTGCCTTATATTTTTCCTCCTGCAACGTTACAAATTAAACATACTTGTCTATCTGGGATGAATTTCCAATGAGAGCTACTAAAATTTATTTCAGAGGTCATCTGAAAGCTTTTACTGATATAGTAACTGAAATGCTTTACACTTTTTATTGTGTAACATTTCTGAGAGGTATTGAAATGCTACTTTGACTTTGCACATTGAAAACTGAGGTATAAGAATGAGATAAGTCAGTTCATTCTTAAAGTTGCTGGCACACATTTATTGAGGTTCTGAGGAGCACCTAAATTGCTCTGAAAAGAGTTCTTTGACACCAAACTGCACTGCAGAAGGTGACTTGCCAAACCAAACCAATCCCATGGTGAAGCAGAGAACCAAATGCAGACCTGCTAAGATATTTTATTACTAACATATCTCATGGCATCAAAACAGTAAAGAGGAGGAAGACAGAAGAAAAATATAGAAGGATTTTCTTTTCTTTGGTAGGGCTATTCCACCATTCCACTTATAGCCAAATTTTTAATTTTAGTGAAGAGTCACCACTTGTAAAAAAATGCATCCTTCACCCCTGCATTTAGAAAGAAGCTCACAGTGCCCAGCCCCTAAGGCTTCATCCTCTGCCAGGACTGCTTTGAAAAAACAGAAATACCACAGAAATAGTCTGATAGTATTATTTTTATTACCCTGCGCTCCTCCTCCCCTCATCTACTTGCTTGTTTCTTCTCTCTCACATCACGCTTTTTAGAACAAGATCTCTTTAAAGCAGTGCTTATTCTTGAAACAATGAGCATGAGCAAAGACAGCTCAAATGCAAATAGGTAGTAATAACAACTGACCCCATTACCATATAACTCATGTTCTTTGAATTAATAGTAATAATGTTCCTATTAAAAAATAATTAGAAAAAAAGCAGTTGCACCTCATTCCATTTCAAACTATGTCCAGTAATAAAACATTAGCAGAAAATACTAGTAGATGCAATGACCTTCAGATTTCCTCCAGGAAAAATATATAGTGTGTAAAGTTAAGGGAAAAACAAAGCGAGATAAAGCTAATAAACCACAAGCAAGTGGTCAGAAGTAAGCTGGGACAAGGTTTAGACATTTCAGACTCTTATTTCTTCAAACAAATCCAAAGTATGAGAAAGGATTTACCTCACAGGACAACTGCTGATATCAGAAGTACGACTGGAGCCAAGTAACACACATGACGACAAAGCAAATACGTTTAGTATCTATGACAGGGTTTTGCAGATGAATATTAGCATTAGAAATGAAAGTGGAAGAGTGCAGTTTAAAACAAAGGAAAAAGAAGGCGGAAGAAGAAAGATTAAGAAAGCAGCTAATGTCAAAAGAATGGAGATGAGTAAACTAAGACTGCATCAATGTTAGTTAATAATAGAGTACAGACAAGAAAGCTGGATACAGGCAAGAAAACCAGCTTATGAATAGATATTTTAAAAGGCAATTTGATCCAGGCATGTTCAAACCAGAAGACTTTAGTAAAAGGAAATTCAGCTGAATGACACTTTCAAAAGTGACAGGCCAAATATAAGGTGGACATTAAAAGACAGTGAAGAAGAAATTCAGAGAAAAATTAGCTAAAGACTTGAATAATATCAAGCTATCAGAAAGCTTGAGAGGATAGTAGCCAGAAGATGGAATCAAAAGAACAATTAAGGAGGAGGATATCACTAACAAGCTAAATGGTTCTTTAATGTCAGTCCCTGCTGCAAAATATGCTGGAAGATACTGATTTCTAATTTATATTTTAAACGATCAAAGAGAGAGAATAAGCAAAAAAAGCAGGTAGTTAAAAACAGCTATAAATTCAACAACAGCACTTCAGAAAAGTTTTATGGAAAATACATCCAGAAACTTGCATGAGTGTGGCTGAGCTGCTACCAAAGATATACGATTCTTCTTTAAAATTGGCCACAATTCTACAGTATGCATGACTGAGAGTAGCAAGTATATTTTTCAAACATATTCTTTAAAAGGGTCAGAGTAAGAAATGACAGGGCACGGAGTCTGTCATCTTATCAAATGTAAAGACACTAAAGAAATAGTTAAATACACGGCCACCCTGCCATAAAGACTAAAGTGGTGTCATATAAAAATAGTAGGATATTTTGTGGAAGGACAAGAATTAAAAATAGGAAAAGCTCCAGTGTTTGCTCTTTCTCTGCAAATATTTCACATGGGGGGAAAAAAAATCAAGTCCTAGTCTGGATCTGTGATAGCTGTGAGGATGAATTTTCCTTTTATTTCACATCCAAAAACTGAAGTCATTCCTAAGGATTTTTATGGAGGGAAAGAGAATTGTATGGGTAATGATCCAACTATAAAGGCACTCAACTGGAAGATGGGAAATAAAGGTTCAAATTCTGAGTTTGAATGAGGCACCTACATCCTATATGGCTGTTCCGTCCCAATCTTTTGTTCTCCAGTTTATTAAGAAGCTGCACCCCACAAAAGCTTTTTCTTCAAGAAGACATTAGATGACATTCATTCATTTACTGAGAAGTTTCTCATTTCTGTGTTTTCAGGTAAAGAAAATGAGCTGGACTTGGAATATGCTGAAGGTGGCCCTTCCCTGGCCCTTTAACAATACTTCACATAGCTGAAAACAGACAAAAGGGACACCAGAGGAGAGCGCTAGTCTGAGCTGGCCATATTTTTACCTGCATCCATCCTTTCTGAGACCTAACATGCAAAGAAAGATGAAAAAGCAAAAAACTCTGAGATACTTTTTTTTTCCCTTTTTTTTCTTTTTTTGGCAAGAGCTCAGGCAGTGCACAACTCTCATGAATGTGGTTTCTTCAAGCTGCTGTTACTAACTCTCGTTACTTTTTCTCTGCTATTCTTTGGCAAGGCCACTGCTAATGGCTGATGACGAGATATTCATCAAAAGCATGACTGCTCTTTAAACTTGCCCCATGCTCTCAGAGATACCACTGGGAACACAGGAGGTAGAAGTCCCCTGTGGAAGAGAAAACACAACCTACAAACACATAAAGAATATCACTTAAAGAGTCTAAAATGTGCCGATGATACATTCAGAGTGGTGTTTCCCTGTTGGGTTCATTTTCTTTCTATGTACAAAGAAATACAAGAGTGGAGCATAATAGTTCAAACCATCAAAATACTTTGGCATGTGGAAGAGAGATATATGATATATTTAGGGTATAGCTACCTATTCACTTATATGCTGGATATGAAGATTCTAGAGTCACCTTGCTTCTCATGAAAAAAAGCATTTCTAAGCCAAGATGATGGTGTCCTTATATGGCAGGATAATCTGTTTGAGTCAAAAGCTGATCAGTAAAGTGCTAGATGACAAACTGCACTGAGCAAGGGGCCACAGGACCTAGAGTTGGGGAATCTACCTATCTTCATCAGGACCCCTGCTAACATGTTCTCTCTAGCTCCAACCAGGTAAGAGTTTAAAAATTATGTGTTAACTAAGAATTTCCATCTCTTCTCCCACAGAAAATATTTCTCTGCAAAATTATAGGGCCTGGAGCCTGGAACTTGGATAAGGTAATAATTCAACAGAGTATTAATAAACTTACAATTCCATATACTACTGCCCTGTAGACTTGGGAGATTCCAGGCTTTCCAGTGAAAATAAAGAGCACTTTGCTTCTAGCCTTCAAAGTGCTGAAATACAATAGCTGAAAATCACAACACTATTAAATGTAAAATATAATAAATGTAAATATAAAATGTAAATATAAAATGCAAAATATAGTAAAAATGCTGTTTCAGGTCATTGGTAGAAGTGACTAATCTTTTACCAGTTACACTTTTGACACTCTGCAGAGCAAGAGTCACTTATATAGTTAGCTTGTTAGGGAAGCATCTTATGTGTTATCTAGATTAATGAAGTCCTTGCTCATCAGCAGTACCCTAAAATACTAATGAACAGTTCTTCAGGAATAAAGTGGTATCACAAAAGCTTTTTAAGATATATAATCTTAGTGCATATTAAGCTTTTAAAATCTTTCTAAGACAGTCCAAACACACAAGTTTGATGTGTACATACTATAAACAGGTAATGCTATTTATATTTTCAACAGTGTATATGTTTACCTACAGAAAAGAGAAAGTGTGCACATATAACTTTATTGGCATACAATATTACACAGTCTTATTAGCTGAAAGCCAGAGGTAGGATTTCTGCAATACTGAATGTAGATTATTAATTAGGAAATCCTGCCACTAGATTATACCACTTCTAAACCTTATCTACTTCCAGAGAACCAGCTTGCGCGTTCACGTGATATATTTGAAATCAAGACCAACTTGGATGCTTCCACACTGTGAGACAGCCATGTCCTAAAAAATTTAGCCTTTGTGTTTAACCACACAACAGACCTGCCTGCCTCAGGCTGAAGATGCTCAACAATGCTGTACACCATTCCAGTGAGAAGGTAACAGTGGTGCTAAGGTTTGGGTATATATTTCAAAAAAAAAAGGTGAAAAGGAATTAGTTGAGATAGGTTCATGGTGGCAGAGATCATATCTGGAGTACCTATTTCATTTCTAGGGGGAAGATCCTCATCTTCATGACTAGGATATCTCTCCTTCCGGTCAAGCAGAAGAAAATAAATCATTTTTTCTTGGTTTTCTCTGAAAAAAAAAACCAAAAAACTTTAAATTTGAAGAGGGAAAAAAAAACAACCCAAACCCACAACAAAACATCAACATGCAGATGAAGCCTTCTCATCAGTTACAGTTATTGTGAATAACCTCATAATGGTCATGAACATGGCAGCTAGATACATCACCCACAAAGCTTTTGAAAACCTTGCTGTCTCCAACAAGCAGTGAAAAAGGAAAAAATGATTCCCATGTTACACACAAAGAACACAGGCACAAGACAGAAGAGGTAATGTGTCCATAGGAAGTCCAAACTAAGAGTGGTGGCAAGACAGTTCTTCTGAGCCTCTAAGTGCTCTTTCCACTACATGTCTCTCTTAACACCTCAGGAAATACACCAGCTCTCAGGAGGCTTGAAATAAACACAGATTTGCCAACAATGGCATACTCAACACAAACCACAGCAACAAAACATCCCCATCTGGACCGCCCATCTTTTAATGAAGTTACCTTGCCTCACAGCAGGAGAAGTGACAGCACCATGCCCCCAAGGCTTCTGACACCTGGTGCAAGAAAGGCTCAGTGCTTGCTCCCAACAACTCACTAGTAAATGAGTAGCCAGAGGGCAAGAAGTTGCTACTGGTCCCTCACAGTGAGAGACATTAGTTGAAGTGCTACCTCTCCCCAGGTTTATAAGCATCCCAGCCCACAGACACCCAACTGTTAGGAAGACTGAGCAAGTGCTTACTCTTCTGACAACAAGTCCTGTAAGAGTTTATTTCGGTCACGGAAGCAGCCTAAAGAGTGCATGCTATCTAACACATCTGGATCAATATCCTCCAAGGAAGGGAGAGAACGAATCTGCACCTTTCGAGGGATTGGTTGCTCTGGTTCTGGCTCGTTCTTACCCCCTCTGCAGAGGAAAGAAGACGAGAGAGAGAAAGGGGGCAGGGAAAGAAGGAGAGAAATGAAACATGAGTTACAAATGAACCCATACTCTGAAACACAGCCTGCAGCAACAGATGGAAATAGCTTGTTAAATTCCCACTGAGTGACCAGAGCTCCCAACCAGACAGATAATCATCTCAGAAGAAACTGCCATGAAGGCTAAGAGTGACCAGTACCTTGTGGATTTGGGTCTTTAATGAGAAATGTCTGCATTCAGTCAGAAAGGCAGTAGGAACTTCACTTACCAGTGCACTCATAATTAAAGCAGCTGTTAAGCATCCTAATGCCAAGCATTCATAAAACACTACAAGGTTTTAGAGATGGTGTCCCATGAGCAGGCGAGACATCAGGCTATCATGCTGAAAAGTACAATCCGAATGGTTCTCTTTCAAAGAAGGAGCTGTTAAGAAACCTTCACTATTTTGCACCAATCATGATTACAGCTGGCATTGCAGCAGTTTCTTTCTTTAAAGCTTCCAACATGATTGAAAGACCTCATGTTCAGGTCCCAGCTTGACACACTTTAAAGGGTTTTTGAGGAAACTGCCCTGCTTATTTACATGCCCAAATACAATGATCTGCTTCTTTTCAGACACACAAATTTGAAAATTGTGGCTCAGGTCTAAGTCCCAAGGTCAGTGGCAGACCTTGGAATACACAATTAGCCGTAGAGCATATTACTCTCTCAAAAGCAGTAACACAGGCTTCCTGCACAACTACCTCATCCTATTCACTAGGCTCAGGAAATACTAATTAAAAAACTGATCAAAGTGTCAGGGTCTCTATAATTGACCGAATGATATATATTGCAGGCACCCTGAATACCCTTTGATTTTGTTTAGGTAGGTAGTGAGCAATTTATGTAAACTCTATCTACCCAAAGAGGTGGGTTTGGCAGTAGTGGTATTTTGGTTGGAGAAACTGTCTACCCTGAGTCTTTGCGATTTCTCAATGGATGCTTTGTGTGATATTGAGGTTTTCATACTCTCTGGGTAAGGTCCTCCCTTTCGATGTTGAGGATTTCCTACTCTGTGGGTAAGCTTCTCCCTTTTCTTTCTGTGATAAAAATGTGTGACTGTTGGGTCCAAGATCCCAGGATGGGCAACAGGAATCTAGAATATTTAAATTGCACCAGCTGGAAGTATTTGCTGTTTATAGGGATGTGTGTGGGCAAGAGATTCTTCCTTTAGATGCTAACAGAAATATGGTTAAAACTTGTGAACTTACTTGTACAGCTTAAAATGTTCTGGGCTCAGATGTGAACTATCCAAGCACCTACATAGAAAAAGGAGCTCCAAATAAAATGCCCCTAAGTTTTTATTGGGTAGGTTAGAAAGAAACCCTGGTAGGATCATACACGAGCTTGAGGTCTCAGCTAGTTCACCAAAATTAGAGTCAATGCAGATTATCTCCTCTGAGGTAAAAAGGTAGAAGTCATTGCAGCAAGGGCTCTGATGCTAGCACAGAGCAGTTACATGCCATCACAGGAGACTGCTAGATGCTACTTGCAATTTATTTTTAAACAAGTTGAAATGGACCTGTGAGGCATCTGCTCTGTTAAGCATGTTTGTGGGACATCACTTGCAGACTCTTCAGGAATTTTCATTTTATCTTCTCTTGAAGCAGTGAAAATGTGCTCATCCCCTTCTGGATACATGTCATGGAGTCACTCTGGTGTGCATTACATGGGTCATGACAATATGGGTCAGATCCCACTTCTCTTACACTGAGCACTCACACATCCTGCTCATTTTTACTCAGTTTAGGATGCTGGAAGCAGAATATACAGGACAGAGAAAGAATCTCCACCTTGACATTCGTTCTTGTGTTTCAAACCACTAAAATGGAGCTTCTGATACCCTCCTGGAGTCTCACAGAAGCATCTGTGTCTTCTGCAATGACAGCATTGTCCTGAATTAAACGGCTAGATTAAGAAATTCTTGTTCAACTAAAGAAACATCTTATTCCTTGAGTGCCCTGTTGTTAAGAGGTAGCTGTTCCTACCTCTTAGCATCAGGATCTATCTCTCTGGAGGTAATAAGCAATGATTAGATCATAACCTTGTTCTATTAAAGCCAATGATGACCTTGTCATTAAGATAAATTCTTGCAGGATAGACTTTTGAACAGCAGCTGAGTGTTTTTGGTTTTTAATCATCTGCAGTTCACTTCTAAAAAGTATTGACTTAATTAATCACTCATTATGTTACAAGCAGATGTCCTTAAGATAATTGAAAGAGATTAAAAAGAACTATTGTTTTTGGAAATATTCAGAAAATCTGGCTTTCCTACTAGAAGACCACATCTATAGCAGAATATCACCTGCAAACTTCTTTTGTATCAGTCAGCATGGGAGCCATTTCTAGAGAGCACAGCTTGCCATCTTCTGTGCACTGAGAAGTAGCTTTTCCTTACACCCTGCACCTGGTCAGCTTCAGACATAGTCAGGAATTTTCACACCTCCTCATCAGGTACAAGTGAAATCTGCAAAGTGCCTTGTCATTTGGCAACTCAATTCAGTGCTTCAGGAAGTGAAAACCACCAGGTCTGGGCTGTGATTGGCATGACTGTATTGCCTGTTCCATTCCCAGTCTAGCAGAAAGTGACAAATTTGTTGCATTTGTTGCCCACATAGACATCAACCAGTGTCACACGATGAATACTGCAAATCACGTATATTTTTTTAAAGGCCTGCATGAATGTAATTGCTGCTTTAAAACCCACCCTCTTTTGTGAGGATCGGTGCATACAATGGCTGTGATTCCAGACCAGAGCAGACTTTTTCAGTCTCTCCAGGAAATCTGCTGGTGAATCAAACCAAGATGCACATTTGCATCAGTGCAAAGCAAAGCAGAACTGGTACAGTTATGGGTTTTTTTTCCTGATTTTAGTAAATTTGGTACTTTCACAATTAGGGCAATAACTCAGTGTTACAGCAGTATGTATTTAACATAATAGCTAATTTTGCCCTCTTGCTTTATTAAAAAAGTTAGAATAGCTGCTGTTTATTTGCTGATTTATGATAACCTATGCTTGAGTTAAAAAAGAACTATTTCAATTAAACAGTCTTAAAAACCCTCACTGAATTAATTTGGGTGGAAGAGCAAGAAGAACTGGAGGTTGGTGATGAAAGGTTTCTCTCTGGTTTCTTTTCCTTTTTTTAGGCTTGTGAATCATGATTTCAACTTTCAAGACCTGTTCCTCTGTCTGCCTAGTCTCAAATATAATCTTTTCCTGGGCTTTACAATAGCCTTAATATTTATCTGAAAAATTAAGTGAAATCACTTATATGTTCTGAGTACAACTTTCAGGTCAGTAACCTATATATGATGAAGAATGGAGATTACATAGCATAGTGGTGTTACATGTAATAAAGAAAAAATGAAACATGTGAGCAAACAGCCTCATAGTAAAACACTTATAACCCCTCCTTCTCAGTCAGCATCACTATTTCCAAGCAAAATTAATGCAGAGAGGCTGTGAAACATTACCAGATGAAAGTAGTTGAGTTTTGGAGGTGGCAGGGTTATTCACAGACTAAATTTAGCCCAAACAGATTAACCTCCTTAGGTCAATCCAAGACCAGTACAGAGAAAATGACAGAGAAAGTCATTAAAAAAGCTGTTTTGAACAGAAATTTTGTTTTAGGCAAACTGAGTATACTTCTGGGAGAGCCTTCCTCTCTATGTACTGACTACACTGGGAATTTAGGGGAGAGCTGCTTTTGCAAAACTCAGTTTCTGAAAAAAGCTCCAGATGCTATTACCATTGGGGTAGAAAACCGTTTACTGTGTCAATCATCAGAAAATCTGACCTTCATTGAGAAGTACATTAAAATGTTCAAACACTTACGTCTGCAAAGAAAAGAAATCTTCAAATTCTAAATCTCGAATAAAGTCATGAAATAACACATGCCTAATTGTGCATGTGAGCCTGGGACAGCAGTCTTCTGACAGGTGAAAACTTCCATGCAAAAATCTTGAGGAGGGTTAGAATAATAATGTAAGTGCTCAATGACATTTCATTTTATTTCCTGTTCCAGTTCTTATCAAAGCCCAGAGAAAGTCAACTCCATGAAGAAACAGAGGTGATCAACTGTTCAGATTGATGTAAACAGCATTTACTTCTGCAATTGCTAATAAGACATAACAGGAGGGGGATTTCAGAGATTACAATTAGAGATTTCCCCCCCTCCATTTCTCCTTCATTTTTCCATGAGAGTTTAAAAAAAAATTGATACTGCAGCAAACAACACTCCAGTCCTCCTTTGTTTTAAAAAGGTGGCATGCCTGGTAACTGTAGGGAGCATGAAAAAGCCACGGGCCGAGTGCTGCCACCATTTCAGGTGAACTAAGAAAAAAACATGTTATTCAACAAACTGTTGAATGCCCTCAGGTCCTGTCGAAGTCAGGTAAATCCAGAAGTGAACACTGCCCATAAGACAGAGAAAACAAAAGAAATCAAAACCAAAGGTGTTTGGGTTTGTTTTTGTTTTTCAGTTGGTGACAGGCTTAAATGCTTGTTCGTATCATCCTCAAGTATTTCACAAGAGCCTAATCCTACCTTAGGAAGGTAGGACTTTTCTTATCACCCACCTGGGGAACCTATAACTATGCTGACCCTGAGAAACATGTATCAAAGCATCATCTACTTGTTTAATATGTGAAGTATTCTCCCTAGTTTGATTAAGTTATCAGCACATAAAAAAATGTTATTTACTTAGGTTCCTTGAAATACCATTAAAGCTACACAAAGTGCAAGGTCATTTTTAAAAGCTATCAATCTTCCTTATACCCAAACCACTAGACAGGCACGTGGTTTTCTCAGAGACCTCCTGTTTCACTGTCAAGACTGCTGCTTTTAATCAAGTAACATAACTACTCTCACATCAACAGGTTACAAGGTCAGAAGCAGCCTCTTAGCTTGCTGCAAAGAAGAAGGAGTAGGGATTAAGACAGAAAAGCTCTTGCTCACAGGTGCGTACATACAAATATCATACTTTTTGTTTCTACTTCAGAGAAAAGACACGAAGAAACAAATGAAAGCTTTCTTGTCAAGAAGGTATTACAAGGGATTGTCTGCAGTACTTGGATAGCAACCTAAATATGGCTGGCAGTTGGGGGGGGGGGGTTTGCTGATGACTTGTGGGTATCTTTTGAATACAGCAGGTTGCTGGACTGAAGATCTTATTTCAAACAATTGTTAGCCACTGTATAAAAAGTTCCTGGCTTGATATAGATACACATGACATTCTGTGAGTAGCAAAGGGTAAAAAAAAAAAATAGCAAAAGATTAGATGCCTTTCTGTCCTCTGCCCCCTTCTTCACCTGTGTGAAAGCTGCTTTCAAACTCCAGTTCCTTTCCTCAGAGATCACTAGAATATCAGCTCCCATAACAGAACCAGTAATGAATGCATGCAAAAGTGAATTTAAAAAGTGTTACTTACATATACCATATGTGTTTCTGAATATGTTCTAGCTGTAAAGTAAAAGAAAACAAGGAATTAGTGCCATGAAACAGAAAAAACAAATCCACAAGACATTCTTGTTCAAGGCTTATTCAATTAAGTCTAACATTCCATAGGTGGATCTGTGCAAAGAACAGAAATTTATGCTGCAAGAAAAAGCATGCTTATCCTCATCCAACCCAGTGGAAATGAGGTTACAATTCTGGACGTAAGGAATCAGACAGGAGCAAATCTCAGCAAAATGCTTATGTACAAAGCTTCACAGGAAAGTGTCTTGGCAATTCTTCCAAAGTAAGTTTGCTTTAGAACTTTGGTAAGTTCTTCCCTTCCTAAGCCCTTCCTTCTATAACCTAACTGAAGCCAGCAAACTGCTCCTTTCTGTATGTGCATAATGGCTGAATCCTTACACCTGAAGTTCATTTCTAGTTTTGTTCTGGAAAAAGAGAGTGAGAGAAGGAAATAGAAATGGGCTCAAGCAAAAATGTCAATAAACAAAATAAATTGTGCATGTGTGATATGACCTTCTGCCAGCACCCATTCTTGATAAGCTTCATGTTTATCATTCAAATCTAAAGACAAAGTAGAATAAGTTGCTATGTAATGAAGGACTGATCAAAGCTGAACAGCAGCCTTGTTCACCTATGGAAAGCAGACCTCAGAAAATGTTACAAGATGACCATGTTTTCCACAAGCACCGGGAAAATAAAGTTACATTGTTTTTCCATGAGAAACTCTTCACAGTAGAGAGAACAAACTATTCATATGACAATCTTACAGCAGAACCTTCCTAACTTGGGTTTTCAGCATCATTACAGTAGAAAAGAACTTTTCATAGATGATGAGGGCCTTTTCATTATGTGGACAACATTTCTCATGTTCTTCGTTATGAAGAACCTTTGTATGTGCAGAACAATATGCACACTCACTGCACACAGGTTTGTGTTGTGCAGCATGCAGGGAAAAGAAAGGGGAGAACTGGAAGGAAACTCCAGTGCTAATAGCTATGAGATGAAATCACAGACCCATTAAACTGGTGAGGAAGAACAGAGACAGCTGTCCTGCTCTTCCTACTTTCCAATTCTATTCCAGATTACTGAGAATCAGAGAGGGGGGAAAAGAAAAAAAAAAAAAGACCAAGAAAAAAAAAGGAGGAACAGACAAACAACAAAACCTCAGAGATAGAAAGTAGGTATTTGCCACAGAGAAAAAGGAATCAGAGACCTCTGTGCTATGGAACAATAGCTTCACGTCTGGGAAACCAGGGAGATCCGAGGTCAGCTCTATATGAGATCATTTTTTAAGTGAGACAAGGCTTTTTCTGAAAACAACAAAACAACAGAATGCAGCTTAGGAAAGCATGAAAAGAGACTGGAGGGATCACTATGAGAGACAAACAGCCTCCTTTAGAACCAGGAAAGAACATATCAACACTGCAATCAGAGGTGGAGTTGGTACTTGCATATCTAGCTGTCTTCTAGCCAGCTGAGGTGCTGGGATCACCCCCAGAATGCACATCCATGGGCCCAGGCAGACTTGCACTGCTTCCAGCTGTGGCCTCAGCTCTGCCACAATAATTCCCCCTCATCACAATTCCCCGTGCATTAGGTACTCCTTTCATCTCTGCTGATTCAGAGAAAACTCCAGGAACAAACTTGCCAACAAAGTTTTCAAGCTGACAAGCAGGTATTCTTTATTGCGGCGCCAGGCGACATGGGGGATAGCTCCTCCTAATGTGTGTCTATTAAGAGAAAGGTTGAGTATTCCCAACACACTGCCATTTCCCTTGACCATCTTAACCCGAGATAAAATACACATTATGGGTGTTCCCCTAACAAGCCTGGAGACACTGTCCTCTGCCTTTTGGTTTTTCTGCAAGCTGAGGTACAAATGGAACATGAGAAGAGCATATTTTATGCAGTTTCCATGGGACAGGATTTTAGCATGGTTACTTATCAGGTCCATAGTACTGTAAGGATGTTCTAAGAAGTGTACTGTACCTCCTCTGCTTGGTAAAACCACCCTAAGAGATGCATATCTACTCGTTGTTTCTTATATACCACATGGAGGGTTAGTGACATTAATGATTTCAGACAAGATGCAGATGATACAGCTAAGCTATGTCCAAGCCTCTTTCATGCTTGTTTCTCCTGCTGCATTTTCTGTCTCCATGGGTCACATTGTTCTTTTGTGCCTGTGATATCCAGAAATGCCATGGTGAAGCAGACAACAGCACTTCATTTTCTGAGTCCAGAGAGGGGGAAGAAAGGAGGGTCACCAGTTCATGTCTTAAGTCACAGAACCTCTGGGCTTCTTCAGCGGAGATGTCAAAGAGAAACCCTTTCTGCCCACCCCTGCTGATCAACCTCCTTCAAGGTATTGAACCCACAGCATTTTTCTGAAAGAGAAGCCCCATAGCACCTTGATATACATTTGAAGGTGTATGAGAGCTCTCATGGCTGCTGTTTATCTACACATCTGCCATTCAATTCACATCAAAACCACTGCTGGGAAGTACACTGGGATATCCCAGATATGAAAAGTATTCTATGAAACCAATTTCTATGCTGATTCAAACGTAATTGCATTGAAATGTTATTACAAGTGTGCTTGCTGCTGCCAACATCTTCACTGCTTTTTTAAAGGTAATTAATTAGTGCTTTGTTGCTTTTCGTCTGCATTAAAGTGACAGGAGGGTTATGGGAGGGCGACTGGTTTTGACAAGGAGAAGTCTGTATGCTTTTTACTATGCAATGCAGGGGAGGGAGATACACAGTGGGAGCTAATCTTACTCCTCCTGCCTTCATTTAAACACAATGTTTAAATGCATTTAAGTGACAAAGGCATTTAACATCCCTTCCCAGAGGGTTCTTCTTGCTGTTTGCATATGAGTGCCAAATTTAATGCCATTTTGTGGAAGCTGTAAAAATACTGCCTCCTAATATCTTCTAGTCATTGCAGGCAACTGTCTCATGACGCTGTCTCTAAAACAAAAAAACATGCTCAGATCCTTTGCATGTGCACAGTCACAGGAGAGACTTCTGAAAGCTAAAATGCTGTCATGGAAGGAGAGGGGGAATTCCTGTATCATGGTTTTATGTAAAAATATTTCCAGTATATATTAAACTTGTGTACTGAAGTAGCATTTAGGAACCCCACTCGCAGATGAGAGACCCATTGTGATACAGAGCTGTACAAGCTCATCTGAAAAAGAGGTCTCCTCCCCCAAGTAGCTTACGTCTGAATTTTAAGGCAGGGAACAACAGATGGAGACAGACAGGCAGATGGAAAACAAGACAGCGCTGTCTACATCCTCGGCACTGATCTCAGCAGAGCGGTTGCCAAACTAAAAAGTTCTGACCTGAAGAAAAACTTTCTCAAAGTCTGTGGATATGGATGAGGGCTCCTGGGCTTGAACTCATGTCAAGTTTCAAATTTCCCTGTCCAGAAGGGGAACAGTCTCAACCCCATCTGTGCACTAAATCAACCCACACCTCTGATGAATCTTCTTCATTCAGAAGATCCTCTAGTCTGAGCCTGAAACCTACTGTAATGTCAAGATAGAGGCTCTTCTTGACCAAAGGGTTCATGCTGGCAGTGCAAACAGCACTGGCAAAACCATTATCTGTGTCAGCAGTAGCAGCAGTAATACAGGAGCCTCATGGGGCCTTGACAAGGGCAGGTATCACTGTGCTACGTGCACAGTGCATGAATAGGTCCTTGGCAGCCAAAAGCTTACAGCCTAAATACATCAACTGGACAATTACCTCCACCCTACCAGTGGTGCAGTGAGATAATTTAAATGATGTGATAGGTGCCTTACCATATGACCTTCTGGAAAAAATTAAAAAGGAGTCAGATGAGGTTTCCCTCATTTTTTAGATGCTGTGGCCCACCATTAGCATACCCTAGACCCCCCAAAAAAAATAATCAAACAGGGAGCACAGAAGAGATTCTGAAAATGTGTGTAATTTAAATTGGATAATATTCAGAGACAGGTATTTCAGACTATGTGGAAGACAAGTCAATCTACTCTGGAATAAAATGTCAACACTGGAACAATAATAGCTTTATCAGAATAGCTTATTCTGCAGTATCTGCTCTGATCCACCTTGCTCTCAGACAAAGTTTCGATACCGCTCATCCATCTTTAAAAGGAACGTGGACCAAAAGCTCATTACTCTCCTGCCTTCGTATTTCTGTAGAAGAAAATATTGTCTGAGAACACAAATGGATTCCACTACAGGAGCTGTAATTCTCTGCTGTAGAGATGCTGAATCACTTGAAACCTCCAAGGAAAAAAACATTCACTTTCTGAAGAGCACATAACTAAAAGAAACCTTATCCGGCAGTACTGCAGGTACCAAGAGGACTCATTCTCTTCCATAAACCTTCTCAAACTTAAAACTAGTTAATTTTTCCCTCCTGACATTACTACTAGAAACCTGTTGCAGAACTCCACTAATATAGCTAATATGCTTTTTCTAATTTCTAGCCTAATTCCATGTAAGGCCATTTGACATACATTTGTTTCTGAGCCAGTATCTTCCTTTAGTTTAAATAATCCTTCCCTTCTCAGTTATTACCTCTAATAAATATGCAGACAGACACTACAACCTTTCTTGACATCATATGTTTAGATTAAGTGGAGCTCTTTTAGGCTGTGCTATTCAGACAGGCTGTCTCAAATGCTGACCACCTCAGTACTTATCCTTTGTTTGATTTCATCTTTCCTGAATAGGGGTGGTCAGAAATATCATGGCCAGCAGCTAGGATCAACCTGTGCAGTCTACTGAAAGAAAGACATGGATTCTTTCATTTTAAAGCATGTGTAGTAAAACAGGCTTAGTAAACAAGAGCGGTCAAGGACATCCGACTAACCATACCCGAGGCTACGTAATATATGGTGAGAGTGAACAATATTCCACTAAGACATAAAGTCTTCTTTCCATAAATGAATCATATACAAAGAAAGGTAAGACCTATTTCTCAAGGCAGGAAAGGGCCAGCAACAGTAATGCTGAATATCCTTTTCTCCATTAAGCCTCCCAAGCTCAAACACTGAAGCCGAATGATGACAGTTAAATGAGAATGCTAGTTCTGTTTTTGTTGATCATTTTAACAGATGGACTGGGGAAGGTGTGGGTGTGCTGTGAAATGGCAATTACAGCAGGGAGGGAAATGCAGTTGGGTGAAAAGGAAAAGAGATACAAATAATAATAATAATAATAATAATAAAGGAACAAAGCAGAGAAGGGAAGAATGAAAGAAAAAAATTCTAGTGACCTTATATTTCATTGTATTTTTGTGCTCAGTTCAAAGGCGAGATATTGAGCAAATGATCAGTAGTATTAACAGCTACATCTGTACGTATTGTACCCAAGCCACAATTTCGCTCACATCTTTATAAAAATATCAAATTGATTCAAGTGAGATATTTTCTAGGAATAGAGGCTTCCATATAAACCCATATTTATACCCTTTTTCTTAGGACACAGCTAAAATAGAATTCAGATCTCTCCTCAAAATGAACTAAGTATTCCTAGCTCCTGTGCAGTAAACAAAGAGCTCCCTTCTGCCTAGCAATCTCAGCAAACAGCACACTAACAGCATAAAAGTGTGATGGCAGTAGGGACAGCAAACTGAGAACCTAAAATAATAAAAATAAGATTGCAGCTAATAACAAAGCCCTACCCATTTTTCCTCCCAGCTCTCAGCTCTTGAATATGTATGATTTGAAATTCTTATTCACAATTTACTGGTTAATGCTTTTCAATAACTATCAGACCTGTTTTTTTTTTTGCCTCCCTAAGGAAATAACAGATTAATTTTGATAAAGAAAAGGGGGGGTGGGGTGTGTGTGCGTGTGTCACTCTGGGACCCGGATTTACCTTAACTGTTTTCTCTCTTAATCATGTACATTCTCTGCTGTATTGCACAATTCAAAATGCTTAGGGACTATGCTCTGTGTAAAAACTCAGAACAGTCTGAAGAAGATCTAACATCTGATGATCTGCTCCCTGGCATACTCAAACCATCTCAGTGATCTCTGTGAGGAAAAAAACCCAACAAAACCATCAGAAAAAATGTTTACATTATAGAAAGGAAACTAACCTAGAAAGGGACTCTGTGACTTTTCAGCTGCCTCGCATGTCTGGGTATAGCTCTAACCTTTGCAGTGTTCATTCCATGAAAATACTTCGAAAAATATTCTTTCTTTCAAAATCAGTTTTAAAAAAACACTCTTAAAGTGCTTAGTATTTCTTTTCCTCAATCACTGCTACTTTATGTACAGCAAACATGATGACTACTGGGTTTGCAAAAGCAGGGATATAAGTAAGAGCATGAAGAACTTTTCACCTACGTCACCAAACAGAGCACGTATTTCTTTCATTTCATAATGAATGAAAGAAAAACCCAGCTGCAGCTGTCAGGTAATGCTGTAAAGTTGTAGAGGGAGTTTCAGCTGCAGACAGATGTCTGCATCCCATCACAGCTGGCACAGACTGATGCTGTTGTTAGCAATCTCAGTAGAGAGGACAACCAGTGATCTGAGAGTTTATTTATAAATATTTTAGCAGACTAAAGAACCAGGAGGAGTTTTAAATTTACATTTCTTTATACATACACCCACTCAGAATCTGTATAAAATCATCACCACAGCCTGACAATAGGATTTACAAGGGCAATGTACCCATAAAGGCAGACGCCTCCACTGACAAGCAGGCAATCTTGCTTTCCAAAATGATTTTAATTGCTAATTTTTTTTTTTAATTCCCCCAAACATTAAACCCAGGGTTAATGAAGGATACAACTACTATACAGTGCTCACCCTTGCAAGGTCTCTATTGCAGTGATGGCATGTATCCTATCTGAAAAGAGTCAGTGCCGAGTACCAGGAACTCAACACTGTGGACCTAATTGTGCTCAGGACCACAGGGCACAAGATGAAAGAGCAGACAGGAAGACACTTGCTCTGAAGTCTGCTAGAGGATAATGCAGAGCAAATACAGGATACAATACAATGCAGGGTGCATGGCATGAAGCGAGAAGCCATCACTTTTGTCAGAAGTGTAAGAAAGGCATACTTCATATAATAACAAAGCTTCAAATAACTGTCCTAAGTAACAATTTTGACTTTCAAACAGTTATATCATGTGCCTGACAAACTGCTGTACCAGGCAGGAGAGCCAGACAACTCAGGTGGACTCCAAAATGTGCTAATGGGTCAGTAGCACTGTGATGAAGTTATGAGGGATTTCCTCTAAATGACGGAGATTTATGGGAGAGAAGAGACACAAGAGTTTCTGGAGAGAAGAGACACAAAGGTAGTCTCCCCTCACAGTTCAAAAGAGAAGGTAATTAACTTCTTCCCAAAGACTTCACCAACTCCACTCATTCTTTGCTCCGGAGGAAACATGTAAGAGCAGCAGTAAATCAATGAGTTACCTTAGTTATTCAACCACAACTGCAACAAGGTGAACAAATGAAGCCTTGCTCACATGACTCACAGCAAATGCCTTCTTACCGTGAGACGTTTCGAGGCATCCACTTCAATCATCCCCCGCAAAAGGTTCTGACAATCTGGGGGGATAAAATGTGGCATGTGGAACACTCCACGTTTCACCTTCTCCAACAGTTGCCGCAAGTTGTCATCGTCGAAAGGCAGGGCACCCTGCAGGGATGTGACAGTGTGGATGGTGGAGATCAGCAAAAGGGAATTGGAAAGGGCAAAAGGAGAAAAGCCAGGATAAACATGGTGAGAGAATAGAAAAGAAGAAGTCAGCTCATAGTGAATTATTATATACATGAAAAAAAAACTTTTTATCCACTGAAAATAAATTATTTCTTAGTGCTGCAGTATTTTCTCCAACATAGGAAACAAAACTGAGGACACAGCTTTTTTATTGGACCTTTAATTAGAAAATGACCACTAGTATAAAATACAATACAAAATATGAAATTGTCTTTCCAGGCAAATTCACCAAAGATGCATGAATTCACTTAAATTCAGCTCAAGCTTTTGATCTGCTGGTATTCCTCCTGGGCATACTTTCACAGCAGCAATGTTTATCGTCTCCTTATTTTTAACCTTCCTAAGACACATTTGTTACACACATTGAAAAGGAGGTGAACAGCATTTGAGAGACTTTCAGTAAAGAACACTCTTTCTGATGAGGCAGTGAAATGACACAGCTGAAAAAAATCCTAACCAACATTAGCCTTTGGAAGCAGCAGACGTTCTACCTGTTTAATATACCTCATCTAGTTCCCATGCTGTGGTCAGGTCATCAGTTCCTATTGCTTCCCTACTGTACCTCACTTACATGAATGGCTTGAGGTTTTTTTAGCTGAAACTACATTTTGAATAGATCATCAGCTTGCCACAAAAAGCAGCAAAAGACCTATCCTTGCTGCACGGATAAAAAGGAAAAAAAGAAGTTGAAATCTTTAGGATAACTCCACCAACTGAAGCTCATACCCTTTTATAGCAAGTCTGCACCTTCCTAGATATTCTCACTTCCTTTTTCACTGCCTAGTTCTAGGAGGTGCCAAGCTTCCTTGATTTCCAGGATGGATTGTGGGAAGCTGCAAGCTGTCAGCTGCTGTGATTATGAAGCTCTAAGTTGTCAGTTCTGGCACTGCTCTTACTACAGTGAGTAGTGCATCTGTATAAGCAATTCTGTGTCTATGGGTTACAGAGACAACAGCTCCATAGAACCCTCAGAAAGCCCACCTGATGGCAACTGCAACTGGGCACTATTTACTGTTGTTTGTTCATTCAAGCATTCCTGAAGAGAGCCGCTCTGTCTTCTGTAACCAACCTCCTGCTACCTACATTTTTTCTAACTATTCCGGACTTCAAGGAGAATCAATTCTCATAGTTCAGTACTTTGGCTAACGCAACTTAAGCCATGATGAAGTCAGTAAGGATGCTTTGTGTCATTTCCTGAAGGTAACAACTACACGTCTTTTATTACTACTACGTGCTATTATAGCATGAGACTTTTTGTAGGGTTTGTCCTGACATAATTAACTGGAGAGCTCTGCACTCTCCATCAATAATAGCCTTATTTCAATCATTTTGCAGGCTTATGTGTATATGTAGGAACAGATGAAGTTGCAGCAACAGATACCAAATCTTGATAGAGAATCCCCCTGAAAATGAAAAGCCTGCTCATACAAATCCCACCCATCTTGACATGTTCTCTCTTCTATTCTTACAAATTCAAGAAGTTATGTTAAGAGCTCATTACACAGTTCTGTTCTATCAGCCAAGAAAACAGCTGCCCAGGAGCAATAGATGACCAGGTGCAATCTAGTAAGATAAAATTCTTCCCTCAGAACATCAAGATAAAAAATCCAAAACTTCAAAAATATCAGTGAATTGTAATGAAGAAAAAGAAAAAAATGGTAAGCTCGGTTAAGGTGAATTAACGCATTATATTGATATTTCCTCAAGGTATTTTGACTTGGGCCATTAAAAAAATATCAGCATATTTTTTGGAGGGGAAAAAAAAAAAAGCCTTTAAAATTTCCAAGTACTTTGAACAAAATTAATGTGGAGAATTTAACTCTGTGCATTGTAAAAGTATTTTCATCAAAATAAAACATTAAAGTGAAGTAATTAGGTCCAAATTTGACTCCAGGCTTGTATTTTTCTAATTGTAGATGAGCATATTGAATTACTATAGACATAAAGAACTTAACATGCACATAAAACCTGTTCTCATACACAGTATTCAATCTGCACATGGTATATGCTTATAGGAACATAAAAGTATATTTTCCTACATTATACTATGGAAATTGATAACAAATGCCAAGCCTATCTGCCTTCAGCTGGACATCCAGTTGTTGCATTGTTTAGGAGAATTACTTTACCACTTCAAATCAGAATAAATTCCACAGAGAATTGAAACTTTGATCAAAAGAAGGGTAAGTTACAAGACAACACATTTTGAATACTAAAGAAAGTATTACTGAGCCAGATGGAAACTAATTTAAACTTTGTACTACTGGCTCAGTTTTATATTTCCAAGTGTACTAAATTAAAATGTAGTTCAGTACTTGTGTGAAACAAAATGGTTGCACTCAAATCTTGTCTTGATAAAACACTGCAGTTAATGTAAGCGTATACCTACTGAAACACATCTACAGCAGAAAAAAAACAAACACTTCCCAAACCCAGCCACATTTTCATCTTGTGAAGTACAACTTATTTGACACTCTCTGCATCCTGGAGTTGTAACTGTGCACATCCTTTCCAGTCAAAATATGTGCTGTGATATCACAAGACAGCAGAGAGCATTTATGGAGGTAAGGTTTTGATGCTTGTCTATGCTCCCCTGTGCAGGGCAGCAGCATTTCAAAGAAGCAGTGAAATATTCCTCATGCTTTTCCTCTGGGACTGATACAGAAATAAGAGGAAAGGATGCAACTGGGAGATACAAATATAGGCGAACTAAAAAAAAAACCATCTGTACATGATGTCAATAGAATCACCATTAAATACAGCAGCATTTTCAGATTTTTCTTTTCTTGTTAAAGTATGGTGCAAGGAAGATGACTCACCACTAGCAACGCAAATAAAATGACTCCACAGCTCCAGACGTCTGCTTTCCTTCCGTCATATTTTTCTCCCTGTGCAGCAATGACACAGAGGCTCAAAAGACTGCTCGCTAGTAAAAGAATTAATTATCCTTGAAGAACAAAAGAAGGGAGAATGGGAAACCCCACATTTCAGTTCTGCCACCTGCTTCCCAAGGTGGCCTTCCCAGCTAGGAAGCCATGCCACAGCCCATTAATTGAATTTTTTATGAACATGAGTTTACAGTCTTATCTGGGATCTGCGAGAACAGGCTCGGAAGTGGGGAGCAGGGCAGGAACAGTTGACAGCTCACAAATTATTAGACCTGGCACTTAAGCAGTGTCAGAGGTCTATTAAGGACTTTAAGAAGGTGTTTTTCTCTTCCCTGGTTCTTCAGGGAGCTTGTCACCAGTCACATTATTTGTGAACTCAAGGGTAATGTCTGGACAGTCTCTTCTGTACACTTCCTGCTTGGCTTTACATTAAAGATATGTTTTAAAAGAGGGGAATCTTGGTCACTGAAATCTTGGATACTTATTTTCAGAGGACAAAGGGAGAGTAGAGGGAAAGGATACTTCATATCATCTAATGGAAACCAAAATTACGGACAGCCAACCCCAATTCTTCTACTGAAATGACAGCTAGATCAGAGACTACATCCCCGGGTGGAAAGATGAAGTTAAAAGAGGCTACTGTATTTCTGCTTCATCACATGGTACAAAGGGTATTGTGAGAATAATACATGATCATTTCCCTCATACAGCCTATGTAGCTTGACTCAGGTCTGAGCCAAACAAATAAAACTGTAGTTACATTCTTTGTTTCTTTTCCAGTGCTGTCTGCCTTGGACACACTTCCTGCACAGAGGGTCTATCTGCATACTTGCGATGAGTGGTACTTTAAAAAATGCATTTATACACACTAATGTTAACCAACTTACCCGGATGACTTCAGGGCAAGCATAATGTGGTGATCTGAAACACAAAAGACAGTCAAATGAGCATGTTACAGCCTGGTATTTATGGATTACGTGCATTTCCATTTTGTTTAGCAGAATCATGATTGGCTTGCTTATACAGAAAGCAAGTGTTCAAAACCAGCACTTTTTTCCTTACCTCAATGAGAACGCATATCTAAAAAACTCAGTAAATGGTCAAGAAATATCGAAACTCAAAATTCTATGTCCCCACTATGAATTTCTTAAAAGCAAGGAAGGAAGAGAACACCAGGCGTATTCTGTGCCTATACGGAATTCTAGCCCTCAAATCCCACCCTTTAAGTTTGCCTTGCACCTAAGTAGAAGGAAGGCCCATGCTGGATAGTCTCTTATAAGAAAAGAGAATAATATCTTCAGACCAACATATACATCCCAATATGTCTTGGACCTCTTCTGTTAAGATTGCTCTCAATTACTCCAACAGATATAAAACCTGCCAATACATGATTTCCGCATGCTTTTTTTTATCCTTTAAAAAACTAAAAAGGATGGACAGTAGTGCTACTACCCAGCGAGTTAATATATTCTTTTCGCATCCTTCTACCCATATATCTCTGGTTTGATTCCTGGCTGAGAATTGTTAATTACTTCAGCTTGCCAAGTAATCATTTTAATTCTTAAAGATTATAGCCATGGCTATTTATTTTATAGCCTTCATTAAAGTAACTTGACAAGTAAAAGGGATGCAAACTGTCTGAGACCTGTGTGCAAATTATGCTATTGTTTATACTGACACCTCCCAGCAGTCCCTGAGCCTGCCTTCATTTGTGCATTTGTTTCTTGTGACAAACGCGATCATGGCTGGGCAATACCTGTCTCACAAAGTAATGAGCAAAACAGAAGCACAGTGAGGTTAGCTTTGTGCTAGGATGCTACATTATGCCCATTGAGACAGCCTGTTAATTGGATTTCTATGCACACTACACTTATATTACGGCAAAATATCATCCCATGGGCATGGAACGCCCTGATTTGGTATCGCAGCTTTTGGCAGACAACGATAATAAACTCAGGGTACACTTGAGACTGCAGCTACCTTGAAAGCAAAGTGTAAGCGAGGAGAGAGAAATACAGTTGATCTTTCCCAAATTTTAGGAAAGGTGGAATTCAGAAGTCAAAAACAATATTTAATATATAACTACCAGCCTCCACCTCCCTCCTCCCTCTCTGCTGTTTAAGAGGTTATTACAGATACTTCTAACCAGGTCTATCTGCTCAGTAGTGATCCCAAGTGTCTTAACTGAGACTGGATTCTGAAAACCTCAAGTGTTAAAACAGGTAACGAAAACCAGAGCCTTCCTTCAGAGAGCTGGCCAAAGTTGTCTCTTGGGAGACCAAAAAGAATGAATTTGTGCCTAGTAGGTAGGACAGATTCCTTGGACTGTCACTGGCAGCCACATGCACATGGACAAGGCTACTTAGTGTTTTTAAAAGCTGCTGCTGGCCACAGTTTGAAAAAGGTTACCAGAACCTCACCATGAGTTCACTCTTCTGACTAAAACAAGAGCAATGCCACCACAGCTTTCATACCTCACAAAAGCTTGTATGACTGAATTAACTTGGATTTTTATAATGCTTTAACCTTTTAGAGCAAAAGCTTCCACAATATAACAAACAGCGTGATGGCAAAAATACTAAAATAAAACTAAAGCAGTCAGTAATGTTAATAAAGTTGTTGCTTCTTGACGAAGTAGAGTGAGACACTGGATTGCTTAATGTTATGTACGTGTTCCCAACCCTGTAACATATATTGTTCTCTGTAAATCTGCTTCTGTATAGCAATCCAACAGCTACTCTACATCTGTTCTTTTTAATATCCCAAAGCCTTAAATACTAAACAGTCATGTCACTGGACTAATGCATGACTTTACAAGCTTTTAAAAGACAAGTTAAATTATTCTTGTGAGAATGCTTGACTAGTGGTGTTGCCTCTTCATATCATAAAAATGGTGTAGAGTATACAGACCATCCTTAAGCTACACAGAAATCAGAATTAAGGAGTAGCACCAGAATTTGGACTGCAACTCACATCTAGACAAGCAGAATTAACTGTCACTATTGCTAGACTGCTTAGACAGAACACAGAAAGAGGGCAGTATGGGAGCTGTAGGGAAGGTAGTAATTTAACTATAATTTGGAAAAAAATTATTAGCGAAAAGAGCATAGGAATTATATCAGATCAGGGACATTCACTCAGTTGAGTCACCTCAGAATAGAAAGACCAGTTCTAACATGTGCTATATAAGCAAGTCACATGAGTTTTGTTGGAAAACATATCAGGTGGCAACAAAGGAGTGAAGACAGAATCTAGGTAACTGTGACTTAGCATGTCTTAGTTTCTTAGTCTTGCATGCAGTTTAGCTTCAGTTAGGTATGATGTTACCATTGCCTTTCATACAGAAGGTGAGTCACAGAACCAAATAATGTATTAAATGGCTACAGCAGGTGGTGTCTGTGGCTGAGCAAAACCTCTCAAATCCTGCATGGTATCCCATACAGTTCAGGATCCCTTCAGCACAATACTTTTTTGGTGGCCATGTGTCCTGGGTTCAGCAGTAGCAGTCATTTTTTCTCCTTCTTAGTAGCTGGTGCAGTGCTGTGGTTTTGACTTTTGGCCTGGGAACAGTGCTGATAGCACCGATGCTTTTACTTACTGCTCAAATGTTTAGTCTGACCTAGGACTTCTGAGTCTCATGCTCTGACAGGGAGGAGGGGAAGCCGGGAGGAAGCAGAGACAGGACACCTGACCCAAACTAGCCAAAGAGGTATTCCACACCACAGCACGTCATGCCCAGGATGTAAACTAGGAGTTACATGGAAGGGCTGGCTCACTGCTCGGTCAGGCTGCATATCGACAAGTGTTATCGTATTCTCTTCCCTTGTTATTTCCTTTATCATTATTATTATTGGTAGTAGCATCAGTGGTTTGTGTTATACCTTAGTTACTAAACTGTTCTTATCTCAACCTGTGGGAGTTATATTCTTTCGATTCTCCTCCCCGTTCCTCTGGGAGTTGGGGGCGGCGGGGTGGGGGGAAGAAAGAAGGGGGAGTGAGTGAGAGGGCTGCTGTCTGACTTACGGCCTGGGCTTAAACCATGACACCATGCCATCTGTGGTCCACTGGAAGAGTCAGTATCTCAATTTGCAGGGTGCTTCTGAGTATTTATTTGTATATGATGACTCCAATAAAGATTTCAGAACTCTACGAATGTGGCTGCTGAGCAAATCAACTACCTTGACAGCTTCCTGTGCTAATATCCTTGAAAAGAAGAATGTGGATGTTGTGAAGAACCCAAGACAGCTGCATTACTGTTTATGCGTACCACTAGCAAATGCACTTTGAGCATTTACCTTCCTTGGGTCAGCTGGAGTGCAGTGGAATCTGTTAGGTTTCTTACAAGCCACCACTGAAATCCTACTAGTATCTGGGAGAATGGGTGGAGAAAATGCTATAATAAATCCTGTCAACAAGTTGGGTTGATTTGAGCATTCAACAGCTGCCTTGCAATTGCCCAGAAAGCACAAGTTTTTGGCATAGGAATTTGGCATTGGGAATTCTTGCCAGCACTCAGTAGCTGGGTATCTGCAGCATTATCTTGGCTAAAAGTTCTAGGAGGAATCCTCCAGCCAGCCAGAATCCATAGAAAACTCATTTCCATAATACCAATCACAGAGCAACTTCAACTGCTTTAAAGAGAAAACTGAAATTTAACCAAAAATCTATTTATCTTTCTACGGAGTCATGAATATTTTTTTGGCTCTTATCATTAATTATTCCATATATGTGTGTCAAGAATAACACTCCCTGCCTCTTCCCCTAAGCCACCTCCTCATCGTTCAGCTACATTTCTGTACAGCAAAAGCCACAATCTGCCCTTGATAACAAATAAGTATACTGCTCAGCAAGATCAAGAAGCAGTTGCTGCCTGCTGCTGCAAAAAAAAACCACCAATGTTGGCAGTATTTATTTCAAGGGTGATGTGGATTTTCCAAGGCTAGTCTGCCTGAGGCAGGAAGGGCTCTCTGAATGGTCATTCACAGCTATGACTCTAGGACACTGCAGTCTTAAGGATCTCGGGGGACCTGAGCAAAGCATTCATGTAGGATTTCAACCAAAGGAAATAAGCCAGCATGCAATGGTGAAATCCAGGACAACCCTGGACAGGTAAGTTAGGCATTCAGAAAGAAATGTATATACCCTCGCTGCATCTATCTTCAACTTCATCTGAAAAACTGGAAAAGTAGTTTGTTATCTAAGCACATCAACATACAGTGCAGCTACAGTAGATCTGAGATAATCAGAGCCATATCTTCAGTGCAGATGTGATGTGCCTGTGACCTATAGGTCTTACTATGTAGACAAGAGAGTCCTGCACGCACAAATCAACTGCCCAAGTATGGTTTATCTGGGAATATACAGTAACTGCTTTTTGAGAGAAGCAGTTGGTTGATCAAGAAGCACAAGGAAAGCTGTGTGATCCTACTCCACTGTGTGACAAATCACGTGTTACACTGCCACTGGGTTCCCAGGTCCCATCAAAGATGACTGTCCATTCCTATGTCCTCTGGTCCCATGCCTTGAGATCGTACTATCTGGGGAAGAAGAGTGTCATTCTTTAGGCCTCACACCTGGATGCAGAGTTTCTAAAGAGTCTCCTTTCCCCTTTTTTTCTTATGCATTAAGTTACCTTGATACAAGAGGTTGTAAAGGTGCAGTGAAAGTTGTCCCACATCTAGCTGTTTTTGTTGTTGCTCTAATGCTAGAGTTCCTCCTTCTTTACCCTCCCCTTTCTTCCCACTGTCTCCAAGCTGGCTTTCAGAAACAGAAACTATCCAGTAGTGCAAAAGGCTGCCTGTGCTTTCCCCGCATGCTGGATAGCAAAGGGTTGAGATGAAGAGAAACACCAGAGTAGCAAAATAGATAAAGGGAATTCTTCAGGAGAAGGACATATGTTAAAGCATCCTAAGTGGAGAAAG